CATTTTGTCGAAATATTACGCGCATGACACCCTTTAGTGTCAATATAACACGCAGAACCCAAGGCGTCATACTATTAAGGTGAGTGGCATCCTTTAACGTCAATATAAGACGCAAACCCTACCCCAGACCTAAACCTACCCATAACAGTGCTAAAGGGTATCACAATATTGACCCTAAAGTGTGCCTTTATGTGCATAGTATTTTGACATCACCTCTATGACGCCAAAGGATGAGAATGTGTTGGGTTAGACCACTAGGAGGCGCCTTCTGGCCCATATACCAGGGGGGTAATCCATCGACCGGAAGTTGAAGCCTCGCAGGAGCTGACATCTTGTAGCAGAACTTCACTTGCGTTAGCATTCCCATTGACTCCCATTCATTTTGGCGTCACTTTGACAGCGAATAACTTTACATCTGAGGCGTTTGACGACCCCATTTGTCCTTTATTTATTTCTAAAGAAACACGACAATGTATAAATAGCTCCATTACCTTGTAGCTTATGTTATGGCCCCGTAGAAGCAGTTTTAATAAAAGTAGGCTAACGATTGCGTCATACCCACGTGACTCTCTGTCGCACAGAAAAGAGATTACCGTATGGACATTAGAAGAAGCTCGCACGGAATCGGGGAAACGTGGAGGCAAAATGACAAAATAATTAATCAGAATACCTAGCAAAATTGTCTCCTTCTCCTAGCTCATGGACAGCTCCTACTCACACTCTCCGCCTCTGCATGTTTCGGAAGGGAATGATTCAGATTTGTCATTCTACAGCACTAGAAGACAGACGGGTCACTCACGTCACATCTACGTAGTCAAGCTCTGTTTGAGTCTGCGCGGCAAGGACAGAAGTGCTAAAAAATCGCCAAAAACGGGCTTCGATCGTCTCAATGGTGTTCCAATGAGATGGCTCTGTCCATTTCTTTTACCATATACAGTATATCTGCGTTTCATATTGACACTAAAGAGTGCCATGTGTGTCGGATGCAGACGCAATGTCACTGTGGCCCTAAATAAAAATATAAGTGAAAAAAAGTCACATGCTCATCAAAATGCAGTAAAAAAGTCATATTTAATTTAAAATATACTGTTTTCTTTTAGATTTGTTTTTAATGTAATTTATTTCCTGTGATGGCAAAGCCGAATTTTCTGCAGCCAATACTTTATTGCCAACATAATTTTATTGCAAATCAATGTTCAAACATCTAGGGACACTGGGGCTGTAAATGTTGCCTATGTAGGAACCAAGGTGACTCACTTAGGAACACAGCCATAGACAGAATGCAAACTCATCATTTAAAGTGTTGTATGGGTTTGCATCAATGCAAATGTGTCTGTGTGAGATTGTGTGTGTGCAGTTTAATGGAAGGAGTCCAGGTGGCATGTTAGGCCTACTCTCAGGTTAATTAGACTGCTGCTGGGTCATGTTTAGCGGTTTGTGTGTGTGTATTTAAACTGTGTTTGTGTGGCCAGACTGGAGTGTTACCTTGTGGCAATGACATTGTGATGTATTTGACATATTTAGCACTAGGCATCTGGCCCTGGTTAATGGTGTACCGAGAGAGAGCTCTACAGCTGGTGTTACACTGCAGTGCTGGAGCTGATCCAAACTTTATAAACGCGCAGATGCGTATTTTGGATTTAAAATCGGACCGGAGATCTCATAAGCCTAAACAAGAGATGCGATGAATACAGCATTTGGTTATTCTCTCTTTCTCTCTCTTACCCCTGTCGGTCTATTTTAGGATATGTGACTCTTCTTCTCTACTCTTTACACTTTGATGGGGTGGGATTCATATTTAATGATCTGTGAGAAATGGGCCATTGCAGAGCTAACCTGAGAAAAGTACAGCACTCTCTTTAATATTTAGCCCTTTTGAGTCAGACAGGGAACCCGAGGTAACTTCAGCCACAGTAAATCTCTGAGTCAAATGTGTTTGACGGCTCTGAGAACAGGTGAAAAGAAAAGTCAGGGCTTGGCTTTGTGAGGAATAATCACAAAACGTCATTAAATTGTAAGGTTGTGGCTGTAGTAAAGCACACGATGACAAAGGAGATCAACAAAAATATTCTTTAATAAATAAATCCAATACGTAACACGCAGGAGATTGGCGTGAAAACAAAATGAACATAATAAATGAGACTGTCTTGTGCACTCAAAAAAATATTTTTGCTGCTTGTAGAAATTGCTTCATTAAAATGAGCTTAAGCAACACAATTCCTATACATTTTGTCCAAACTTAATTCAATTGTGTTCAATCTACTTATAAATATGTAAAAAAAAAATTAGTTTACTTAATCCGTTTGTGTTGGATTACATGAATGGTTTGTGTTGCATTAACTGAAACTGGGTTGTGCTTGTTAGTTCCCAGCATGCTTTGCATATGACTGAATTAGAGAATACATGTCTAAATTAAATTTTTGAGAAAATGAGAAAAGGGGAAGACTTTATAGTGTGTAATTGTGTTTAATGTTCAAATATATTGCAATTATTAGTACCATTTACCATTGTGGAGAAGAGTGGAGCATTTGGTTAAGCTGAAAACTGATTCAGGGATACTTTCAGCAAATGCTTTGGTTGATAAAGCATGTAAATCTTATAAATTAAGATGCTAACAAGGGCTATTGTTAGCTAATACTTGGTTACAGTCTTGAAATTGAGATGATGGATGAATTTTATGAAATTGAATACCTGAATCATATCAGGGAGACTTTTTAAATTCACTGACAATATTAAATTAAGCTCTACCCATCCATAGTAAATAAGTTGAATCAACCTCAATACTTTAAGTTGACCCAAGGTAATACATTAAATTGTAATAACAGAATTGCATAATGCTGAAATAAAGCAAGTTAATCATGTGGTTAATCGTTTTTTATTTTTTAATTCAAAGACATTTTTTTTATTTTTATTTTTTTTTTTGAGTGCAGGCAATGCTTTGGTAGGCAGTGTTTGCGCAAAAAGGTACATGACAAAACAGATTTCGGACAGACTTCTGAGGCAGCATAAATGATCAACAACAGCAAAATAGAGCAAGCTTTGGTGATAACTGTCACAACTGTCTGTCACCAGACAAGTCACCTCAGCACACTATTTCCCATAATCCATCCTGGCACACAGCACACACTCAAATCATCACACCCGTCTGCCTTTTTGTTTTATTAAATCACGTTAACATTTGTATCCAGTCTTCATCGGTCTTCTTCATGTTGAGACAATAACTAAGCAAAAATTTAAACACTGCAATAGTAATTTCTCGCTAAATGACATCAGAAATGGAAAACGTCAAATGCATACAATTACACACAAAATGTTGTAACTGTTTTTTTTTTCTTCAAAAACTATTAAAAAGGAATGTTCTGAAATGAACCTGAAAAAAATATATACATTTGAATTTAGCATGTATTTTACATGCCTGTTTTAAATGAGTGCAGGACAGTTTTGCCAATATTGTCATAGTGACCTACTTGATACTAGGACTTTAATACTTCCTCAGATTTAATGCCAGCAACACAATTTCACAAAATGTGTCATTATGTGGCATCTGGCTAGTGTACAGAGCCAACAGATTTCTCCACCGGTCCTCAGAGCGCACGGATCACCTGCTACAGTAGCTATGCAACCTGTTCTCTAGATGCAATACATACTGAAGAAAAGCCCATCTAGTACTCAAGAGTAGATGGCCTCACTACTTGCTTTTTGGAAAATCATCCCCAAAATCACAAATTAATGTTTTCTTTAAAGGGTTTTAAGAGAATTTTCTTTGATTTTTGGTAAGATATTCTACATATGCTGTTTCAAAGAGCTTTTGTAAAAGAAATGTTTTGATTCTACCAGAGGCAGACCTCAGTCATCTTTCAAGATTTAATTGAAGCCTTCAAGCTAAGTTCACACCGAATTTGCGACGCCCCTTTCCTAATTATGATTCTCTTTATAATAAATCGCTTATCTGAGTGTCTTCATTTTAGGCCCAGGATGTGTGGAAATTGATTGGGTTCTGTGTTGAGATAGAGCCAGCTGTTTGTTTTGGAACCTCTATTATCTTTGATCTTCATCTCATTAGGGAGAAAATGAGCCAAGGAAAGATTATAGTCCTGTGTGCTCAGCTCAGGATTCTGAGACATGGACTCATCCACTGAGTTCATCTGTTCATGCTGCATGAGAAACATGAAGGCGACTCTACAAAGACGTCTGTAAAACTTTATAAGTGGTGTAGACATGTGGATATATAAAAGTGAAAATACCGTTCTTTATCTTTCCCCCTCATATATTAAAGCTAAAACAATTAGTGCAAGATGGAATCTCTGTATTAATAAAACAACTGTGTTGAAATTATAACCCCGGGGGCATGACACAACAACATTAGCAGAGTAAACAAATAGCGCTAGTCTTCAACAGAATAACATAATGTGAAACAAAACTGTTTCAATGAATTACCTGAGACATTTCAACTTCAAGTGACAATAGTATAAATAAACATTTATTGATTTTTTTTTTTTTTTTTTTTTTTTTTTTTTTTTTTTTTTGCTCAAGACTACAGGAAGAAATAGAAACCATTTTTATTGTTTTTATGATTTACAATTTGTTATTTAAAAACCGTACGTGAAAGCTAGCACACTGGGATAAATGTGTTCATTTTCTCCTTTATGAGCAGAGTATGAGAGAGAGCTAAATATAAAATGGAACACTTCTATATATTGGAAAGCTAATTGGTCTAGTCACAACAATGGGACTAAGTGACTGTGATCCAATTATGCAATCGATATTTCACTAATGTTCTAAGTTTATGTGAAATAAGCATGTGTCCTATACTGAAAAAAGTTTGGTGTAGAAACTATTTTCTGTCTGGCTAAACCAGATTCAAGAACAGATATAAACAATCCAAACAATTGTTTATTGAACAGATGGATGAATGGGACAGTTCAAGTCAGCAAATGGCAGATAAACAGTTACTGAGTTAATGCTGGTGGATAACTTAATTGTATTTCTTTTCTTTGCAGTGAATGGGGATGATGGTAGAAGAACTGGATGAAGCACAGACCTCTTGATGAACACGGTGAGTAAACAGGGTTCAGGCACAAAGACAAAGGAGATCATTGGAGAAACAAGGTGAATGTGATTTGACCCAAGTAGCACATGTTCCTGGATCAACATTGTTGTTGATCCTGGATCAACTTTCCAATTAACCAATCAGATTTGAGGGACAAGTTTACAGTTTATGTCAAGTTTAGGCTTAGAACCAGGGTGAAGTACTTAAACATTAGTGTCATTCACCTTTCATTACCCTCTGATTTTAGGGAAAAGTTATAGGTTTAGGGGTAGCGATTGAGTTAAGACTGCATTTTTGGGACAGGAATGTTGATCCAGGATCAACAAAATATGTTGATCCAGGACCATGTCTTACTTGACAAAATCACGGTACCTTATCTCCTGTGTTGATTCACCTGTGTTCCCTTCATCTCTCCGGTCACCATTTTGCCAAGCATTAGCATGATGTCACCGTTTACACAAATTCAAGTTTGTGTTGTTTACAAGGAGATGGTAATGGCATTGGTTTCAAAACCTGTTTTCAAAGGTTTATGTTTTCAGGCCTCAAAACGCTATTTGTCGTGTAAATGAACGGCCAAAACGCATAAAATGTTTACTGTTTTCTGTTGAATACAGTGTCAGTTGAAACCATATGCCAATAATCTGTTTTATTACAACTTAATTTTTTTTACTATGGGTTTACTTATGCAATAAATACATTACATCCAATATATTATGTTAATTTAGATTTTCTAGTGGGCTAGAGCACTTCTATAAAGTGTAGATCACCCAAAAATGAAAATTCTGTCATCAATTACTCACCCTCATGCCGTTAGAAACCCATAACACTTTTGTTATTCTTCATTTTAAATAATATATGATATATATATATATATATATATATATATATATATATAATTTTATTTGTTGTTTATATAAGTAGAATATTAGTAGCTTGGTTATTACTGGTATACCAAGAATGTTGGTAGCTATTGGTGGCCCACAACCAGCACGTGAATATTGCATCAATGTTCTCGTTTTAAACAACCCACCATACTGCCCTTTACACCTTTTGACATTTACAGAGATTTAGCAGTGGTTTCCTTGCATGTTTTGTCCTGAGGCATGTGATGTTTTTTTAAGGTCGTTATATAGTTAGCGCTCACCCATTACAGCAACACAATAAAACCATTAGAATCAAGGTGCATGACAGAAACAATGTAGCATCCAACAATTTTCAAGGCTAATACCCCCAAAATATCCTTCCAGTAAAAGTAGTTTCCCTTGCAAATCAATATAAAGACAAACTGTATTATCAAGTTTGTTTCTGACCATTTGACAGTTTCATATTCACAAAATGAGAGCCAGAATTCACAATGTGACAAGTAGGCAATAATTCAGGGAGCTCAGATGAGCTGCAAATCCACATTTGCCTCGATGGCACTGATGTAGGTGGATGTCAGACATTTCTGATGTGTTTGCCCATATCTGAGACAGCACAGTGAACAAGCTACAGATTGAAGTTTCATGTTCTTCCGGCTCTCTGTCCCAGAAGTGTTGCTTCACTGGAATTAGACGTGAATAATTGTCATGCCACAGGCAGACAACTGGCGATGACAGAGATAGATATTTCACATATTTCCAAATCCTGAACACAAAACTTCTACAAGATTTATGGCATATAAACATCTGATAATCAGTAATAGCATAGCAGAATGTGATGGATGCGGGTGACAGATTCTGTAGGTCTGTGTTTTTCTGGATGCGATTTATTGGGAAGTTTGTTTTTCTATGTAGTGATTCCATAATTACTTCGAATGATTTTTTGAGAAACTCATGATGCAGGTTCTGGTCCTTATACTAAAAATAGGTCAATAATATTGTACGGTTTCATTAGGGTTTTCAGTGTTCAAATCGCAAGCCTCAAGTACACTACCAGTTCAATTCATGAGTTGAGTTGAGTTGAGTTGAACATAATTCATAAGATTCATTCATTCTGCCTGGTTTTGCAGTATTTTTGCTATTGTGTGCGACAAGAGAGAACAGAACAGAGAGATATGTTTGTCTATTTATTGCTTTTGTACTATGTGTTTCATGGCAGCTCCATCCATCACATTCAATCTACACTGCATACTCCTAAATAAAACAGGGTTCTAGACTAGAAAAAAATACTAAATCAAATATTTATGAGACAACTGACTTTTAGGAAACAAATTACACAATGGCTCAAAAAATTTGGTGAGTGGTTCAAAAGTGATTCAGTTCCCATCAGACCCCATTACGGCTGTGAGAATAGCTACACCTAGAAAAGTGGTCCTTTTCTTGGCGTTGAGAGGCAACCCCAACCCCAGATCGCATCACAAATGATGAAATTAATTTCTTGCAAAGATATAGAAAAGATCTATTTATTTAGACCCATGTTGTGATCTTTCATAACAAACACTGCAATATTCCATAAAAACAAACAAAAAAACAAAAAACAAAACAAGAATTGTCAATATTGATTGTATGGTGACTTTACCAAGACCAAAAGTCACTAAAATATGTTGGTTCCAGTTTTTAAAAACATGTAACCAGTGTTGAGTACAAACTAGTTCTGTGTGTGAGGATAAAGAAAAGGTTGAATCAGCGTTAATCTGTAGATTACAGTCACGTCGTGTGTCTGACAGGAGGCCACTGCTTGTGCTGTCAGCCCATTTATTAACAGAGTCCAAATGAAGGGCAGATAACTAAAGCTGAATTAGATCAATAATGATTAAAGGGATTTGTGTTTTTTCTCAGAAAAAAAGGCTTAATTCTTGAACCTTAGTAGACCTAATTAAAGCATTTCAAAAAAAGACCATGCATGTCATGATAATCAAACAGGAAAATTAGATATCTTCCAGTCCTGTGAAAAAAAAAAGTGACCTCTTTTTTTCAAATTTTTTCCTGCTTGCTGTCCAACAATTCTGAAAGCATTTTCATCGTATCCATTGCACAACTGAATGTGGAACTGTGGATGTTTTCTCCTCCAACTGTCCTTTGGACTTTAACTGGATTAACACCCCTTGGCGATTGTGTGAGTTTAGATGTGCATGATTTCTCAGTTGTGCGTGATTTATTGCTATGCCATTTTCCATGGAGTGGCATTATGGAGCACTTCCTGATGGTTGAAGCCTTTGAACTTCAGCTTGAGGCGAGAGGTGTGCTATCTGGTGGGTGCTGATAAAACACTTGATCAACTCTGCAAATCTGACAGTTCTGTCAAACACTCTGTGGGACTCCGACATCACCTATAGCCAGCAAGGCCACCTGGAACTAAGAGGCCAAGAATACCACCTGAAACTGCTAAAAAATAAATTAATCTGATGGCCAACATTTCTTGTCCTTTTGACATTGCTATAGAGTCTCACTTGGACAGCAGAGAGATGCATTTGGCAAAGTGTGTGTAAAACGAGTGCAGAGGATAAAGAGTTTTGGGAAAATGGTACCATTTGTCAACCAAGGTCAGATAATTGCTTTTTAGTCTTAAAGGAATAAAGTCTGTCATCATTTTACATATTTTGACATATTTATTAATTGTAGATCATAATTTATAACATAATCACATTCATGTCACTACACTCTAAAAAATGCTGGGTTGTTTGAACCCAATTTTGGGTAAAATATGGACAAACCCAGCCATTGGGTTAAAAATGTAATTTAAAAATGTAACCCGATGGCTGGGTTTGTCCATATTTTACCCAAAATTGGGTTCAAACAACCCAGCATTTTTTAGAGTGTATATACTGTAATATTTTCAAATGTATGTAATGAAACTAGATGGGACAGGCTGTCTTATCTGTTTTGACAAAGTTCAGTCATGAAACTCTAGATGGCACAGACTGTCTTGTCTGTCTTATCTTTGTTTAATGTTTCTTTGTCTGTCTTGGGCTTGAGCACATGGCTCTGTGTCAGCCAAGGTAGTGCAGTCATCTCAGACTCGGATGAGATAGTTCCAGTCATCCCAGAGTCAGCCGAGTCAATTCTAGTCACCCCAGTGTCAGACGAGCCAATTTCAGTCACCCCCGAAGTGTCTGATCATGCATTGTGGCCCTGGAAGCAAGAGGGAAGGAGGGCCCATGCTATGAAGTAGAATGCCCTAAAACCATTGGTCCAGAAAGACACGAATCACGAGGTAACAAAACCATTGGCCCAGGAGGGCCCAAGTTAGGTGCATTCAAGTCCAGTGTCGGAGGACCCGATTCTGATGGTCCCAAATCCAGTTGTCCTGGAGGACTCAAGTCAGGAAGGCTCAAAGACATTGGTGCAGGAGGACCCAAGTTACAAGGTCCAAAAAACCATTGTAGTTCAGGAGCCCCCAAGCCCAGTGGTCCAGCGCTCCCTTTATATGCGCTCCATTCCGTCATGTCTTTGCTGATTCGTTGCATTCATTGCATGTGAGCATTTCTTGCTTGTCTACAGGCCATGTCGGTCAGTGCTACATGTAGTTTTCTATGTGTCTTTCCCTGGTCGCTGACTATCCTGACCTGACAGTCAGTCTGGTACTTTATTTCACCAAATGTTGAGCCTCTTCGGAGGGTGTAGCTTTTGAATTGGGACGTCCTTCGTCGCGCCAATGTGACTCAATCGGCCTTCAAGTACGGCCAAGCGTCCTTCAAATACGGCCTTCGGAGGATGCAGCCTTCACATTGGGACATAGCTATAGTGTCAGCCATTTTTTTTTTTGGAAGCTAAGCTACCAGGCTCTTGTTCTGCTGAGAAAGCTGGGTAGCAGGGGTTACCATCGCCTTTTTCCCAGACATGGACGTCGACGTCCGGGATTCAGCTTTTGCTTTCTGCAGTCACTATTCATTGTTTACATGCACACCTTTTGTTATAATCTAACAGAATTTATTCCGATTGGTGAATCTGAATGCATAGTGTTTATATGAACGCTAAACAAGTGATCTGTTGATGTGCGTTTTAACATTACTAAGAAAATTCCTGCTCCTCCTGTGCGTCTCACAGGTGTTGCACCGGCATGCCATTCTCCCTCGGCCCTAGCCT